CAAATATCAAAATATTAAATAGATTGTGAACCATATAGGACAAATGTTGAGTTCACAACTATTAAATTAAAAAATCATTTCCAATGCACAATGTAGTCTAATTACAATATTATCTACTTACCAAATATTAAATTTTAATATAAATTAATAAAATTAATTAAATAATTAAATAGTTTGAAAATGGTAATAATATTTCTCTCTCCTCTCTTCATTGGCTAGCTAGAGTGTGGAAGAGAATGTGAATGAACCACATTCCTCTCTACATTGTATACATTAATTATGTCCACATCACCACAACATTTGTAATCACATTGTACATTGAAGAATAAAAAGTTGTGACATTAATAAATGTGTTGATGTGGAATGTAATTTACCACTACAACATTGAGCATTGGAGATGCTCTAAGGGAATGATCATTCCATTCCCATGTCATTCATTTTTACCAATCATGCCATAAGAGTTTAATTTCTTTAAGATATGAGAAAATTTAGAAAATAATATTATAAGTAAATTAAGAAAAGCTTTCTTGTAAGCAATAAGATATTTTGTACTCGTACCAAACATATTTTAAATCAACTCGAAGCACATCAACTCAAAAATATCATCACTATTTACTACATAAAGTGGAAAGCGATAAAGTGCACATAAATACTAAAGAAAATATTATTAATTAAGAGTAGGAAGATGACTTGAAAACGATTAAGCCTAATAGGCCTTTGGTTGTGAACAACCCCACAGATAATGGAAAAGTCAACAGTAGGCAAAGGTAGCAAGATGACTTCATAAACCATGCGTCCAAGAATTCCTATAACTTATCAAAATATCAGGACAATTATTCAACGGCAAAGGCCAAAGGTAGAAAGATAATAACCCATGCGTCCAAGAATTCCTTTTTCTATCAAAATATCAGGACAATCAATTATTCACATAAATAAAGATAAAGCTTCTGTAACTTTCAACCACAAACATATAATAGTAATCTAAATAACCTTTAGCAGCGCCCACTACAATATCTATAAAAGTCAACCATTCGCGTGCAATAATAGCAATAACTTATCAATATTTTCGGTCAATTGATCATATATTATTGGCTAATTGGAGAATACTTCCAAATATTTCTAACTGGTTTGGAAGATCTGGACTATGTATAACTGTACAAGTGATCTGGACATGAGCAACAACATTAATAAAGGCCTTGAAACCATGTCATCCAAAACACAAGAGCAATTCATATGACTCATTGGCATAAACATGAGCAATAACATTAATAAAGGCTATGAAATTATGCAATTCAAACACACAAGAGCAACTGATATAATTCCTTGGCTTAAGCACAAACAATAACACTAATAAAACCCTAAAACCATTAAATTCACAAAGAGCAAATTCTTGTGTGACACTTCAAATGTAATTCCATACAACCGAATCCCACACGAGATAGCACCTAAACAAATGGTGTAGTACACTATTCATGGTCTTGATGGCATATCTAAGTAAATTGCACTTCCAAAAACAAGATAAAAAAAAAAAAAAAAAANAAACTACTTGACCACACTTTCTTGTGTTCTTGCAATGTCTTATACAGATTCTCTTGTCACTTGGCTAGCCCTTCCATATGAAGACAGACAATGAATTCTTTTGTCACTTAACATCTAACATATTAAAAAAAAAATAGTGTTAATTAGACCTATAATGCACCGTTAATTTGTATAAACAAAGCTCCTTACCTTCATGTAAATTGAACTTGTTTCTTCAGTTTGGTAAACACCATAGCCTTTTCTTGCCTGCATTAGATACACAACCATGAACTGAACAACACTTATTTAAGATTATTACTAATGAAAGTAGAATTCAGACAATCCTCATAATAATAACATTGCTCTATCCTTGTACATTTGCCACTGGCCAGATTGTCTAACACATTTTCTAACTGGATTTTTCAAAGCATGAATCGATTTGCAAAGAAGCGAAAGGCCATGTACTTAAGTGCTAATATATGAAGGTCGCGATTAAAATGCGAAAACACGAAAGATGGTGCTTTTATATGCAAGTTTGCTTTAATATTTATAATTTAATTGCTAGATTTGAGACTTTAATCCGTAATTGTTATGGTTTTCGTTTTGTTTGTAGTAAATTAAGGAGTGCATCTCTAGGATAGCATGAACATAGGTTTTGTTTGGAGGTTTTTTTTGTTGTTGCCGCCGCAGGTGATTCGACTAAGACCACCACCACCACTAGACCTTCGCCGACTATGAGCCTCAAGATCCGATGACCTTGTTTAAATTCGAGCCTTCTCCCCCAATTTGAAGACCTTATGCCTTTCACAATGCCTCAAGCCAGCCTCTCCCCCACCACCACCCCCCACCCCCCATGTTATGGATTTCGAGGATTTTTTCAAGTTTGTTCTTGAATCAGTATACTAGTGCAATTGCACAAGAGAAGACTTATTTGACTTTGATGGTATGAGGTCAGAAGAAGGTGAATTGTTGAGAAAATGTGTGGCAAGATACAACCAAACTTGTGTGGAGATCCATCGGCCTCGAATGAGGTCAAAGTAGGTGGTCTGATAAGGAGTATACGAGCTGGTCCTTATCGAAACTCTCTAGCTAAGACGTTAGCTCGATACCAGAAGCAATAGGCGTGGGGTTTTCCTTACCGTCAGATAAAAGAAAAAAAAAAAAACCATCTCCTTCTCTCCCGTTGGTCTAGCTTCAGGCACCCTAGGCCATATCGCAATTACTTCATTGAGAGCAAGGGTGGTCGATGAGGAGAAAATAACTATGGCGGTGCAAATAATATTACTACACAAAGGCTCAATGATAGAAACGTATTTTCACTAAAAAATTAGAACAATGACTAAACTTATCATCCCACTCTCCCCAAGAATACTTATCAGCACGTTGGAAGATACAATCGCGCGTGTGGCGGACACAAAATTATCATTCTAAACGAAATCATGGATAACAAACGACAGATAAAGTTCGAATAAGTTACCATATCCTATATTATCTTGTCAAGCAAAGAAAGGCCTTGGTATATAAAGTTTTTTAAAAAGAACTTTAGACACAAATTGATGAAATATTGAGATATCCAGATCAAAATTGCCCAAATTTGAATCTATACGCTCAAAATGTGCACACAAAGGCGGAATCTTGAAGATGAAGATTGCACAAAATATCACCACTTGCACCAGTACACAAATTAATGGGAGCATAATATTTTGCGAGAATATATTGACCTAAATAGTTACCAAATAAGCCGCCTCTCTTATATATTCCTTTTTCTTTTCTTTTATCTATCTAATAATAACTAGTCCTTTTGAGATTGTTAAAAAAAAAATTAAAAATTGTTCTTTTGAGACTTTTCTATATTTTATGGGAAATTATATTGTAGGCTTGACTTTTCAAATTTTTCATTTGAGGATGGCGGCATTGATGCTGATGTTAGGCATAGAATTACAGTCGGTTGGTTGAAATGGCGTCAGGCGTCGGGCGTTCTCTGTGATAAGAGGGTGCCACAAAGGCTAAAAGGTAAGTTCTATAGGACGGCGATTCGCCCGGCGATGCTATACGGTGCTGAATGTTGGCCTACAAAAAGGTAACATGTCCAACAACTAAGTGTAGCAGAGATGCGTATGTTGCTTTGGTTCTGCGGGCACACAAGAAGGGATAGAATCCGAAATGAGGATATTCGAGATAGGGTCGGGGTGGTTCCAATTGAGGAGAAATTGGTTCAACATCGGCTGAGGTGGTTCGGACATGTCCAACGGAGGCCTCCTGATGCACCGGTGCGTAGGGGAGTTCTACAGCGGGTCGAGGATGTTAAGAGAGGTAGAGGTCGGCCTAAACTCACTTGGGAAGAGTCGGTTAAGAGAGACCATAAAGATTGAAATATCTCCAAGGATTTAGTGGTGCATAGGAGCGCTTGGAGACTCGCTATCAACGTGCCAGAACCGTGACTTTTGCTCCTTTCTCTCTCTCTCTCTCTCTCTCTCTCTCTCTCTCTCTCTTTTCGCGATCTCTTCCTTTCGGTTCGAGTCTTTTTGTGTTTCTCTTGGGTTTCATCTCTAGCCTACCTCGACTTGCTTGGGACTAAAGACTATGTTGTTGTTGTTGTAGTTTCAATTTTAAGTTATTGTTATTTAAAGGCTTACTTTTACATTCTAGTTCTCAATTTAAGACACCAACTAAATTTATAATTTTACATAATATATAAACCAAAATACTATTATTTTGAAATTTATATTTGAATTATAAATATCTTTAATACAATTACTTTAGTAAGAAGATTAATTCATTTAAGCTAATTAATTTCAAATAAATGTAATCTATTTGAATTAATTTTCTTACGAAGCTAGTTTTACAAGTATATTTAATACTTTTATCATAGGTATAATTTTATATATTCTTAACTTTTATAAAATATAAATTTTATTCAAAAATAATGTTTTCTATAATTTTATTTAAAAAAAATCATTTTTCTAAATAGTTTATTTTTAATGTTATCACATATTTTGATTAAAATTAAGTTAAAAATTATTTTTTAACTTTTAAAATAAATTTCATTAAGCTTTTGTATAAATATAAATTATAAAATAATTATTTATTAGGTAATTTTACTAAGATATTTAATATTATTCATTATAAGTACTTATAAATAAATTTAAAACAAAAGTATTGTGGTTTACATTCTATGGTGCCCATATGGGCACCATAGAATTTCTGGAAAGTGACTGAGTCTTAAATTGAATAGTATAATATAAAAGTAATTCTTATATAAAAAATAACTAAAATAAAACCCTCAATTGAAAATTTAAAAATTAGATCCTATTATAACACAATACCCAAAAATAAAGTCCTTCCATATAATTTCCCCTTTATTTGATAAGACAGAAGTTCCAAATTAGCATCTTTAAGGCATATTCTGTGTGTTAGGTGGACATCGGAAAACAGAAAAGCAATCCAAAGAAAAAGCGTGTAACTGAAAACGACCACATAAGTTTTGACCAAACAGCGCTTTACTTGTCAACCTTTTCACTCCAACAAACTCTATGATTTGAGGAAAACGATATTTATTTTAATTTCCTTTGTCAAGTGAGCTGTGGAATCCGATTCACCTCCATCTATATAAAGCTAGCCTGACAGTAGCTTTTGGATCACATCTCTCTCTCCATTTGCTGGTCCCTTCTTCACCGGGAATCCGACTGACGCCAGGTTCAGGTACAACTTTTTCTGTGAACTTTCAAATTTGTGGGATTTTAAAGTGAAATTGGGAGATGGAGCTGTCGATTTTCAGAAATACAATTTTTGTTGGCGCCTGAATTTTATCATGTCGCTGCATGAAGAATGTGTTACCTTTTCAGGTGTTCGTTTGTATCAAATTTCGATGGATTCGAGTCTCGCGATGACCGTTGTGTTAATTTTTTTTTTTTCTGCAGGGCGTTTAGCAATTCATAATCTAATTACTGTAATTGTGAAGCATTTATGGCTGCGAGGAATCTGGAGAAGATGGCGTCGATCGACGCCCAATTGAGGCTTTTGGTCCCTGGGAAAGTTTCTGAGGACGATAAGCTTATCGAGTACGATGCCTTGCTTCTTGATCGATTTCTCGATATTCTCCAGGATTTGCACGGAGAGGATCTCAGGGAAACGGTACAGATCTTCTCATCTCATTCTTTTCATTTTTTTTTTTTNTGGATTTGGGGATTTGGCCTTTCCGAATCGAGTATCATGATGTTAATTTTTTTCTTTTATCTTCACTTTTCGAGCCTTTTTTGTTGTTTCTCAATTGAACTCACTCTGGATTTGGTAGTTATGTTTGTTTTAAATGGAGCTAGCGTGTTGGATTATGGGCCATACCCTCAATTATGAATCCCAAATCTCACCTTTTTTATTTTCAGTTACCGTTCATTTTGTAGCATGCTATCCAAACTCACCTCCAAGTTTGTTCTTCTGATTGATAAAATAGTATTTATTCTTTGTAAAATTAATTTAATCACTAATTCATACTATCTGTATTATTCAAACTTCATTCTTTGCTTAGAAGACTCTAAGATCTGGAGTAAGTAGCTTTTAATACTTCACTTCTGTTTCTCTTAGGTGCAAGAATGTTATGAGCTCTCGGCAGAGTACGAAGGGAAGCATGACTCGAAAAAGCTGGAAGAGCTTGGAAGCGTCTTGACGAGTCTGGACCCAGGGGACTTGATTGTAGTTGCTAAAGCTTTCTCGCACATGCTTAACTTGGCCAATTTGGCTGAGGAGGTTCAGATTGCTTACCGGCGAAGGACCAAGAAGAAAAAGGGAGATTATACTGATGAAAGCAATGCGACTACTGAGTCAGACATTGAGGAGACTCTCAAAAGGCTCGTGTTTGATTTGAAGAAGTCTCCTCAGGAAGTTTTTGATGCGCTTAAGAATCAGACTGTTGATCTAGTCTTTACAGCTCACCCCACTCAGTCTGTGAGGAGATCATTGCTTCAGAAGCATGGCAGGTTGGTTTTCTCAATAATCATGCTATAGGATTCTTTCTTCTTTTTTCTTTCTTCTTTTGGTATTCAGGTGTTGCATGAATGGTGTTTTTTATATATGTGAATGTAGCATCCCTTATCTGGTTAATTCTTAAATTCTTGACTCTTATGGCTGGGTTATCATTATTTCAGGATTCGGGATTGCTTAGCTCAGTTATATGCCAAAGACATAACACCAGATGATAAACAGGAGCTTGATGAGGCTTTGCAGAGGGAGGTATATTATTGTCAATTATTCTTAGATCATCATAAGCACAGAATACTTTCATATATATTTTTCCCGTGCTTTATTTGTAGAATCAGATATATCTTTGATTGGAGCACCCAAAAATTCGTTGAATTGGGCTCTATATGGAGTCCTAAGGTTTAGTTCTTAGATTTCTTAACAGCACCCTCATATCTTTTATACCTAATGGGGTACTAGTAAAATTATGTGGCACGTAAAGTTAAAGAAAGATAAAATTAAAGAATAATATTTTGGTATAGCTTCATCTAATTTGTTAACGTGTTCAATTTCAGTCGGAAGTTATTGAATGTGATGCAATTGAGGATCATGCTTTGATTTTTCTTGACATGGGTGAATTTGTAACTCTACAGTTTTTTTAATGTGAAGAATGACAAAAGAATTTGAAACCCTTTTGTATGGCATACCATTTGAAAGTTTCCATTACACCAGTCAAACTTGGTGCATTTTCATTTTGCAATATCATGTGGATAGCCGAAATTCATAGCTACTATTTCAGGTTATTAGGGTAGTCCTTAAACTCTAAACTGTATGAACTTGTTCATAAGTACTTTTTTGTAATTCTTCTGTGTGTGTGCAGATTCAAGCTGCTTTCCGAACTGATGAAATCCGAAGGACTCCACCTACTCCGCAAGATGAAACGAGGGCAGGGATGAGTTATTTCCATGAGACAATCTGGAAAGGGGTCCCAAAGTTTCTGCGCCGTGTGGACACAGCACTTAAGAATATAGGGATCAATGAACGGATTCCATACAATGCCCCCTTAATTCAATTTTCTTCTTGGATGGGTGGAGACCGCGATGGTACATTTCTTTATCCCTGGAAGTATATAATATTTTTTGTGTAGTTTTAGTTTTGAGGGTAGGCGAAAATACTTGGAACATACATCTGGAAATTTTATGGTTCAGTCGATATACATCTTGTGATTTTCTGAAGGCGGCCTTCATCTTTTTTTATGATTTCTTCACGGCCTCACTAATTTATATGTGTTGACTGACACATCTTTTGTATATTATACGCAGGCAATCCAAGGGTAACTCCTGAGGTCACCAGGGATGTTTGCTTGTTGGCCAGAATGATGGCTGCTAACTTGTACTATTCCCAAATTGAGGATCTCATGTTTGAGGTATTATAACTAGCTTAACCGTCATGCATCAGATTTTTTTTATCCTTTTCAGTAAGCCTTGGAATTGGTGGGGCGGTTCTTCTAATTATTGCATTTCCAGCTATCCATGTGGCGTTGCAACGAAGAGCTTCGTGTTCGTGCTGATGAACTCCACCGCTCGTCAAGAAGAGATGCAAAGCATTTCATAGGTAACCTCCAAATCGTATTTCAATTCGCAGATATAAATATCATTCGAGATCAACACAACACTGATTTTTTTCCCCTTTTCATGCAGAGTTTTGGAAGACGATCCCACCAAGCGAACCCTACCGTGTCATTCTCGGCGATGTTAGGGACCGCCTCTACCAAACCCGTGAGCGCGCCCGTCACCTATTAGCTCACGACACGTCCGACATTCCGGAAGAGGCAACTTACACCAATGTTGAGCAGGTATAGGCAACATTCCAAGAACATTCCAACATTCCAAGAACATTCCACATTCTTCTTTCGTTACGTAGCTAAAAATTAAAATACGTCTATATTATCTTTCACACAGTTCCTCGAGCCTCTCGAGCTGTGCTACCGGTCCCTCTGCGCGTGCGGTGACCGGCCGATTGCCGACGGCAGCCTCCTCGACTTCCTGCGCCAGGTGTCCACCTTCGGCCTCTCCCTCGTCCGCCTCGACATCCGCCAGGAGTCGGACCGCCACACGGACGTCATGGACGCCATCACCGCCCACCTCGACATTGGCTCCTACCGTGACTGGCCCGAGCACCGCCGCCAGGAGTGGCTCCTCTCCGAGCTCGGGGGCAAGCGCCCCCTCTTCGGCCCCGACCTCCCGAAAACCGAGGAGATCGCCGAGGTCCTCGACACCTTCCACGTCATCTCCGAGCTCCCCGCCGACTGCTTCGGTGCTTACATCATCTCCATGGCCACCGCCCCTTCCGACGTCCTCGCCGTCGAGCTCCTCCAGCGCGAGTGCCACGTCAGACGGCCCTTGCGAGTGGTACCTCTCTTCGAGAAGCTGGCCGACCTGGAGGCGGCCCCCGCCGCCGTCGCCCGGCTATTCTCGATCGACTGGTACAAACGGAGGATCGACGGGAAGCAGGAGGTGATGATCGGTTATTCGGATTCGGGCAAGGACGCGGGGAGGCTGTCGGCCGCGTGGCAGCTGTACAAGGCACAGGAAGAGCTCGTGAAGGTGGCCAAGGAGTATGGGGTGAAGCTCACGATGTTTCATGGGCGGGGTGGGACGGTGGGAAGGGGTGGAGGGCCCACCCACCTGGCCATACTGTCACAGCCGCCGGACACGATACATGGGTCACTGCGGGTGACGGTGCAGGGTGAGGTTATCGAGCAGTCATTCGGGGAAGAGCACCTCTGCTTCCGCACGCTGCAGAGGTTCACGGCCGCCACCCTGGAGCATGGGATGCACCCACCGGTGGCGCCCAAGCCTGAGTGGCGGGCCCTGCTGGATGAGATTGCGGTTGTTGCCACCGAGGAGTTCCGCTCCATTGTCTTCAAGGAGCCGCGGTTTGTTGAGTACTTTCGCCTTGTAAGTGACTGCTGGGATGTCTTGAATAAATTTCTTTTTTTTTTTTTCGGTAGACATGAGTAATTTTATATAGTTAGGTATATTTGCTGATTTTTTGGGGTGTTTATTAAATGGAAAATGGATTTCCAATTTACAAAACAAAATTTCAAGTCATTTCCCCCAATCTGTTCGAAAACTTATTCATCAATATGTTGTTGTTGCTCTCATGAATCCTTAATGATTTTATTATATTATATGTGTTGTAGTTTCTGAAACTTAAATCGGTTCTTTTGGAACGACTCCAAACCTCAAGGGCTGTTTCTGTAATCATTATCCGTAGTTGTAATTTTGAGTTTCAGTCTGGGTAACTC